TCTACAACAAATGTCCCAGGAGGCATCAGGGGGGGGGGGGGGGTCATCTGGGAGCGGATTACAAGAACTGGAAGGAAGATGGTGTCTCCCTCCTAGTGCTCACCTACATAGGCATTCAGTAGAGTTTCCTCAACCCCGTGTAGCCTACAAGTCTTGCCCAGGAGCTAACACAGAGCTACTTGTCCTTGCTTCTGTGGGGGAGCAGAACAGTTTAGGATTGCAGGAGATACGAGTATGCAGTACTGTGGGACTGGCATTTAAGTGAACCTGTTGCTTGGCCCTGCAGTTAGCAAAGCATTGGTTCACTTCAACACTGGCTTGGTCAAACGTGAAGGTCCCATGTACAACCTAGGCCTAGGGTTCAAAGGGTTTCAGAGTGATTGACTAACAGAGGTATGTGAAGGCACCACCCCAGCACTGTTGTTATCTGAGAAATGCCTAAACAGGTTCACTTTAGGCAGAGGGGTAGCTGAGTGACAGTTTCTGTTAAAACATCTTCCCCTTGGACAAATTACAGAATTCTGTATGGACATCACACTGCTGCCTTGTATCTGATATTCAGAAATTGCACATCAGATACAAGCCGTGTTGTTTTTTGGGGGGTTCATCAACCTAACTACATGTATTTATCTTTCATAGTGCTGCTTTATGGTAAAAGGTTTCATGTGAAAATGGCCGCTCATAGAGAAGGTCTATCCACAAAGCTGCTTTTGTTGTCAGTAAGCTAATGGTTAGAAAAAATATTATTTACCTTTTTGGGGGGCAGAAGGCTAACATTTTGCAAAGAGCCACATAAGCAAGGGCCGGCCTTGTATCAGAGTCAGCAGAGATATTTTGTTTTCCTTGAGTCTTTATTTTGTATAGATTTGTTTTACACCTAATTCTGTGTGTTTTGTTTCAGGGCAGGGCCTGGATCCGAGTTGCACTGATGGAAAAACGCTTATCTGAATATATTACAGCAGCACTGAGGGACTATAAAACTACAAGGTCTTCCATATTTAATAGCAATGCTTTTTGTGTGGTAATGGGCTGAATTAACAGGGCTTTCTGCATTACCCATATCCATATATTATGTTTATAATGTATTTATCCAATCACTGTAATGTTACTAGTCAAAGTGTGTCCAAAAAATTCAAAACTGATGGAGGTCCACTGAGGATATTTTTCCTCACCTCCTGTCCTGAAAATTCAATGGGTAGTAAGAAGAGATACCTCCAAAGGAAGGGAAATCCCCTTGTTGCCATCAGAGCAAGTGTCCCTTATTGGAAGATTTCCCCTCTCCTTCTGTTCAGAGGACAACTGTACATTTTTGACTTCACACCACATTTTGTCCTAGTGACAGTGATCTCCAGGACAAGTAGTGAGAGTGAAACCTATTTTCAGTAATGATTATGAAATGGAACCATAAGGACTGGTGTTAATGGGCAAAAGCAGATTGCTTCCAGGTGCATACAGCCTGCATTTGAGATCAGCTCGGGACACTTCTGAGGCCATTTACTGTTCTTTGACAGGTGCATTAGACCTCCTAAGTTGCATCAACCTGCTTTAAGCTGCTTTAGCATTCCTATTGATATGTATGGTGAAAGAAGCCATTCTGAACAAGTAGCGCTCCCCCTTCCTGGTCAGTGCTATTCCGATATAGGATAACGCTACCGGTGGCTCTGAAGGGGTGAACTACAGTAAACAGAAATAATGGGTCTCCCTGTCTTTCCTCAATAGGAAACCTCTACTATGGATCCACAGCACACCAGCACACCTTGAGTTACTTGCTATGGGTTATGACAGCTCTGATTCTTCTTGTCTAGGGATATTGTCGCTCACTTTGCCCATCAGCACTTACCGCGCTTCCATTGAACGATTGAAGCGAGGCCCAGTCTGTAGTTGTGATGCTTGAAACATTTATTGAAGAACTTCAGAAAGAGAGAGAGAGAGGAGGGTTAGGATCATCCAAGCAGATGTAGACTCCATGGCTTTTCAGAGAGTGTGGTTACAGCTTCCATGCACAGCAGGGCAAGCACCTGACACCGCATTACTTGAGGTAGAAGTTATTGATCCTTGTCTTTATCCCCCGAGTATTTATCTCCTCCCCCAGCATGCACCACTGGCTCATTCAACAGTGATTGGCTGGGTAGGGATATCTACTCCTAGCAATCCCATTGGCTGCTCTGTTCTATCAGCAGGGCACTCCCTGCACTCACCTCTAGCAGCAGACAGATGGCAAGCAAAGATAGATTGTTTAGGGGGAGAACCATATGAACCAAAACTACAAATTAGTATCAGACCACATGCAATCTGATAAACACTAGATTTAATAGCACCCTTTCCACCACAGAGCTACAAACAAAAGCCCCTCAACACTGCCCCTAATGATGGTCATGAAAGAGGAACACAAAACTGCACTGTGCACTTGCATTGGTGCTCCATGGAAAAATTCCTCCTTAAATTGGTGGTCAGTATAAGGGTCCTTTATGGTCAGTTGAAAAGTTTCCCTTCACCATTGTGGACAGCAAGAAGTTTATCCTGAAACTTGTGTTCCATAAGAGGAAGAATGTAATTTAGATTGGCATTTAGTTCAGGGTTAGGAAATTATGCCTAATTCGGGTGGTCCGATTGGGTTCGCTTGTTAGTTTTTCACCAGACACGATGGGATGCCCAATGTTAGTCTATGGTCAGCTGGGTGTCAATGGACAGGCATCCGTTACCCCCGGCTCCAGCCCATCCGGGAAAATGAAAGGTTTAAAGAATTTTTGCCGGACCTGATCATGCCGGATCAGGGGTAATCTGACACATGTCAGTTTATATCCGACTCCTCATAGACTGACATGGGGTCCAGTAGTTGCAGTGCTTTCCTCCATAGGATAGAAAAAACGGATAGACATGAATGTCACAGTGGTGCTCGGATCCCCTCCTGATCAGCCCGTGTGAAAGGGGCCCTTAGTCTGCAACAGTTTCTTCTTTCAGGCGTTTTGTTCTTTCAGGTGTTTTATTTATTCTGCTAGTTACACACTTCCTGTCCTAGGATGATGACGTTCTTTTACCCTACTGTAGCAGGACAACAGAAACAAGGACTACTGAACCCCACTGATATTCTCTATAACATAGGAGTGTGGTTCTGTAGTCCTCAGAGATATTTGAGAACAATATCATTTGAGAACAGTCAGCACAAGAAGTTGTCAGCTTTTTTGTCTGGTATTTTTGAGAATTTTTAGTGTTTTATTTAACTGACTGAAAGGGAGTCAATAAGAGTAGGTTGATGTTGGGGTTTCCATACGCTTTAAGAGAACACAGTTTTTGCTTGCACAGAATGCAGTTTATTCAGTAAGGACCACAACACCTTGTAATGTCTATTTAGAGAAATGCAGCCTTTTTATCAGATCTCATGTAGATCAATGGGGAAAACTTCACGGTATTGACAGAGCGATGGAGCCGGAGGGATAATGTGTTCTGTGGTATTCTGCTATTTGTAGAAACTCCTTATTGAATAGTCAGACCGGAAGTGTTTCTCGGGAAAGGTATCGCCATCAAAGCTCAGTCTGAAATTTAGAACTTGGCACTCCTTGGTCGGTTTTATTTACTTTTTTAAGCTTTAAAGTCCGTCTGCTAACTTAGTAATATTCTACTCGCAATCTTTTTTTCAGTAATGAATACAGATCAAATAAAAATACATTGCCCAGCATTGTAATCCACAAGGATTTCTTTACATTTTCCCCAAACGCTTACAGTCATCATGTGTCCAAACAGCTCCAACTCTCTCGCTTTGCTTCACTGAACAATCCTGTCCAGTACAAGATCACAAGGGACAGAGCAGTCTCCAGCAGCTGTCCATATAGTAGCTTGGAAGGACGGCTTGCTCTGCTGTTCTTGTGTGTTTGTGGAGACACACACAGCTTACTAGCACACACAAGGGTGGCTTCATAGGACCCTGCAAGGGAAAATAGCCACCCTAAAATAGGATAGGTCCAGGGCTCAGGGGACCAGCTGATTCTGTAGAAAACTAAAACGTTTAAACATCAAGCAGCATCCATGATTTATTCAGCATTTGCAATAGTTTCCCGACTTTTAAAGGGTTCCTTGACTGAACAAAAGTTGAGAAATGCTGCTTTAGCAAATTAAACGTCAATCATTTAGGATTGGGGAACAGTGTTCAAAACACTCTCCAGAAACTTTATTGAGAAATACAATGTAACAACATTACTGTTACATTGTATTTATATATACACACACACACACAGAGTATACTATAAATATAGTACGGTATGTATTACTTTATCTTAAAGAACGACAAAGTTATTGACAAAAATACAGGCTTATAATGGAAATTTAAAATTGTTCTGGTCCATAATGGGTATGCAGTAGGGATGAGTTCAGTTTGAGGACCAAAACCTGGTCTAAACCTGAGCTTCTCTGAACCTGGATGCAAGTTCTTTTTGTGCCATCCATTCAGCTGTGGGCAGGGAATGAGGTAAATGATGTCAGCACAAGCATTCCAGCCCTTTGTTTACATGTATCTGTAGGACGGGGAATTTCCCAGCCCACAGTTGATTGGGTGGAGACGCCCATGGTACCTAGTTCAGAGGAGCTCAGGTTCGGACTGAGTTCGGTCTGAACCTGGGCTCATCCCTAATATATGCAGGGCTGTATATAAACAAAATCTATGCCTGCTGAAAATGCAGTGTACATTCCCTTTAAATACATCGCCCCCTTTGATGGAATAAATCCATTGACCCCAGATTAGGACAAATGCTGTATCTTTTGTAGCTGATCTTCCCAACCCGCAGAAATTCTGATCATATCTTCAATAGTGTATTCTGGTGTCCCAGCGCAATTTGTGCTTTGTGAACTGCTGTGTGAAATTACACTCCCTCAGCCTACACTATACACAGAAAACATTAATCACAGTGTGTGTTTCAATGATGATGTTAAAAATTCAGTAGCAGGCACAGCTGGGGCAACATGTGTTTATGTCCTAGTAATGCATTGCAAGCCTACCGCTATGATTGTTGAAGTGAAAGCTGTTTTGTGCCCTCCACAGGAGATTTTACGACGATGGAGCAATAGTGCTGGGGGAAGAAGCCAATATGCTCGCCGGTATGCTGCTTGGACTCAATGCCATTGATTTCAGGTATTTGGCCCACTTGGCGCCTTCACTGCACAAGTGTTATTATTATGTTGAGTCCCATTGGAATGAAAGGAGGACTGGAATGAAAGGAGGACTGGATTTATTTTATACCTGTCAGCTGGGTCATAAGTTGTCTGTGTTAAAGGGTTGTTAAACCCTCATTTGTTTTTGCATATATCTACTGCTTGCAAGCAGTAGATATATGCAAAACGATGGGAAAAAAAACGTTTGCAAAGGGTTAAAAATAATCTGTGTCTCCGCGGCGTGCTCCCGTCCGAACATCTCAAAATTTCTCGGGCGGCCGCAAAGGATCTTGGGGCGAGCGCATGCAGAGTTCAGATGTTCGGCCGGGAGACGAGAAGAGACGCAAGGTAAGTCTAGGGTGCAGCGTGCACCCGCACATACTCTGTGGGACATCAGAGAAGAGGAGCGCTGGATCGGAGACCCGCACCGGCGCTGGATGGAAAGCTAAAAACTACAGGAAAGAAGAAGAAGAAGAAGATCGGATTAAGAGGCATCATTTAAGGTAAGTCCTTACTTTAGCACTTTGGGGGGGGTCACTTTAGCCTTTAATGTCATTTTAAAGCTGAATTCCAGCCGTACAGATGAAATCCATATGGAGTCTGTTTTAGCGGCCAGAGAATTTGCATTTCTGTACACGCAGTGCTTCCGTTTGCACAACCCCACGACCTAGCACTGCCAGGTGGATGACACCACTTTCTATTAGGAATACAGTGATGTCCTCTCTCTGATTAAACAGCAGGAGACTGATGAGGTCATGCTTCTGCTCACTCTGATCCTATCACAGTCTTTCTTAACCAGTGTGCAATGGCACACTGGGGTGCCGTCTAGCTTTCTCAGGGGTGTCCATTGAATTCACCATGACATGGTAATGCTCTGATATGAAGGGTGACTGATAAATCTAATTTTAAGGGGCCTTCTGATATGAACGGGAGGACTCCCGAAGTAAAGGAGAGTTCTGATGTGAAGGGAGGGACATTGATGTGAATGTGGCAATCCCACTTTTTTGTGTTCTTGCATGGGGTCCCCCTCTTAAAATCCATTACATTTTACACTGTGGGTGCCCCAAGATTTTTCATAGGGTGCCGCAACTAAAACAAAGTTGAGAAACACTGTTCTATCAGCATGTTCCTCGCCAACACATTCGCATGCAGCACACCCGCCTATTACATCAGCCCATTCCTAGGCGATCTGATACATATGATGAGTTTTTGTATTGTACTTTTTGTCCTCAAAATGGCTATTTATTCAGAGCTTCTTTTTCCATAAACTAGCTGGCCTCTTAGTAGACATACTAGTGTTCCAGGTCCACTATTATAACTTTTTATTTCGGGACACTTTTATATACCTCACATAAAAGAAATATGTGTGTACAGTGAATTTTATTGGCATTGTTTTATTGATTAAACTAGTGCGCAGACCAATTATGGACTAGACGGTGGCGCTGAATATATGTCATAAAATTACAATGAAACAGAAATTGCCCACATATAGATAATTTAATGTGATCCCAATACAAGGACCTTTTTAAAGTGTACACACGTAATAAAGGTGATGAAGACCCCCTATAAAGTTGATGATAAAATTGTCAGGCTGGTCTGTGATAAGTGGACATTTTCTGACCTCATTCAGGATTATAGTTTATAAAGAGATGCTTTGTGGTCTGTAGTCAAGGTATTATTTCTGTGCTAACCGTGTGCTTCCCTCTTCTAGCTTTTGCCTTAAAGGAGAGGGCCTAGATGGGAGCTTCCCAGCCGTCATAGACTACACGCCTTATCTCAAGTTTACCCAAAGGTGAGATGAGTTGGGTTTTTTTTTCTGTTGGGGTTAAATATCCAGTCAGGTAGGCCCTTACATCATTTTGTGCAATTACACTGCCCGGGCAAAAAAAGTCACCACCTGGATTTCGGGCAGTTTTATGATCTGGGGGTGCTTCAGTTGGTCAGGTCTAGGTTCAGCAACGTTATGTCCCCAAAAACTGATGTCGGCTACCTACCTGAATATACTGAATGATTAGGTTTTCCCATCAATGGATTTTTTCTTCCCTGATGCATACCAAGATGACAATGCCAGGTTTCATTGGGCTCCAATTTGTGAACAGAGTGGTTCAGGGAGCATGAGACATCATTCTCACATATGGATTGACCACCACAGATTCCAGACCTTAACCCCATTGAGAATCTTTGGGATGTGCTGGAGAAGACTTCACGCAGTGGTCGGACTTTCCCATCTTAGATCTTGATCTTCAAGATATTGATGAAACATTTATGCAACTCTGGGTGGAAATAAATGTTGTGACATTGCATAAGCTTATCGAAACTATGCCATGGTGAATGTGTGCTGTAATCAAGCTAAAGGCGGTCCAACGAAATATTAGGATGTGTGACTTTTTCGTTTTTGGCCAGGCAGTGTGGATTATCAAGTGTATGCTCAGTTTTATTCATGTACTGACAATCTAAATAGAGAGAACTATACCCATTGAATTTGTTATATTTTCAATTAGTGCACAAGCCTTGTTTAGAATTTCAGCTTTTAGAATTTTTTTAGCATGCATACTTACAGCAACCTCCTAAACTTGTCATGGCCAAATTTAGCACTGAAGCTATCCCATTCCTTCCTAAATCCTGCACTTTCCTATTGGCTAGTGAGGATTCCGATCATAGTGATGGACCAATAGGGATGTGTGTGACAGGGCTTAGTGGCAAGCTCTGACACTTTTTGGAAGTGTCAGAAACTTGCTTTTTAGAACAGCTTGGAATTTGTCCATGATGGGAAAGTTTAGGAGACTACTGCAGGTATGTTCCTAGGCTGCACTATTTAAGCAGTTTAACCCCCTTCCCCCAGCCAGTTGTTATACTTTTTAAGCTGAGTTTTAAATGTATTTAGAGAAAAAAGATTTAGGGATGAATTTGAGTTTAAGAGGAGGACTTAGGGGTAGGTTCAGGACTTAGGCGTTTTAAAATGAACGCCAACCCTTTGAGGTTGCCATGGCCTACTCTTGAGTAGACAGCCTTTAGAGGCTCCATGAAGTTGGTGACCTTTGAACTACATGGGCAGGAGCCTTAGAGATAAATGGGTCATCTGACTTTTGTAACTGACAACCATTCATAAGGTGTAGCCCAGGGGCGTAACTAGAAATCACAGGGCCCCATAGCAAAATTTTGTATGGGGCCCCGTGATTGCTAGTTATGCCACTTGCAGAGCCCACCATAGACTTTCTATGTTGGGACTATCGATAGAACACCGGTGTAACCGGCCTATTCTTCTGCATCTGCTGGCTGTCACTGACACAGCTCCGCAGCGGCTGTGAGTGGGAAAGTTTTCCTTCACAGCAGCTGCTGAGCTATGTCAGTGACAGCCAGCACCCAAGATGCCATTGTTACGCCACTGGTGTAGCTGGTACACAGGTTACTAACTTCATGGAGGGTCTGAATCCTGCCTGGGCATGGGCAGGTTGGAGCTTACTGGACATGGGTATCCTGAATCTGAGGTCCTCTGTTCATATGTAAAGACATGTTTATGGGTTGCAGAGGGTAGGGGGACATACAAGGAAGGTTATTACAATTTTTTAGTTATGTTTTAATAGTTTGGTTGAAATTAAAGTTAGGGTTTTGGATAAATTGAGAATGTGGGATTGAACCTCTGTCAAGTTTATTTGTTGTCTGCATCCATGTAGGGGAGGATTTCCCCTATTTCCTGTACCAGTAACACAGTAACAGCGGTCACCAAGACAGGAAATGAGGGTGATCATTTCCAATAGGGCCACAGACATTAAAAAAAAAAAGTTTGGAAGGCTTAGAACTTCTTTTGAGGTTTTACTTTCCTTGTCTTACTGTGTGTGTGTTCCTTTTGGTAAGACTCCTTTCACTTCCTGTTACAGTGGCAATGGTCACCGGAACATGAAGGAAGGGAAATTTTCTCAACAGGGACACAGCAATAAAATCCCATCCCCAAGTTAAGGGTTAATTATTTACTTAGTAAAAGGTATTAGCTGTGATGAATTGGTTTTTCACATGTGATAAATTTGTTTTCTGGGTGTGATAAATGAGTTGGTGCCAAAACAAAGGTGCCATTTTATTTCTCAGGGAACTAATTTACTACTAGAATGTGTATCTTGGTAACAGAAGTATAGCAGAGGCAGAGACATTAGACTTTATGCTCCCCCAGGGAAGGGACTGATTCATGCGTTCCACATAGCACTCATTCATACACACCTTTGTATTGCAGGAATAGAATTTGAAATTCCTCGCAGTCACATTCAAATAGGCTTTTATTGTAATGTTCAAAAAAGCTTTGTAGCTAATTCAAGCACTTCTAATGGGTGTCAGGAACACACCCCAGCATTTATATCAACATCTTAATCCAGACACCAAGACACGTGTCATGGCAGATGTTGATTTCCAAGAACGGAATGGGAGATGTAAAACTTGTTCCTGACATTCATTGGAACTGAAGAAGTGGCACGGATAAATTATGACACATCTGCAATATTCCCTAACAAGTCCAGTTAAATCAGACTGTCTCCCAGTCTGATTCCAGATGTGCAGGGGATTGCAGGAAGCTAATATAAAGGCAGAATTAGGTCTTGATGCTACCTGTATTTAAACATACATTTAATGATTTTTGACAGAGCACATAAAAGGATTGATTGGTGGTCTTTTAGTATCTGCCTGGAGTTAAACTTTAAGCATCAATAATTAAAATCAATTTGTTTACATATTAAAATGCTGCAAGGCTTCATTGAGAGATGTGGAACTTAGATAACTGTTAATTAAATTTTTAATTACGGGTTGGTTATTGTATTCTTCTTTCTCAGCTCTGACAGTATCAGCAGCGATGAGGAAGAGCTGCGGACGTTGGGGAGCAGCGGCAGTGAGAGCAGCACCCCAGAAAATATTGGTCCTCCATTTATGATGGATGAAAATAGCTGGTACAACAAGTGCAAAAGGGTGGAGCAGAAGTATCGACTGGCATTGGAGCAAAAGGTACCATCAGCCATGTACTGCAGTGTAATGTTCACCAGGTAAAATGAGACTACAAAAAGTACAATCTTTATCAAGAAAAGAGGATTCATGACTTAAGCTGGGTGGCCCTGTAAAAATCTGAGGCTGCTCCCAGCTGCCAAAAACAGGCTGTTTGGGTTAAAGTGCTCTTTGGATTGAGCAGGAAAAGGGTCATGGCACCCTTAAAAAGAATGCAGAAATCTTGAGGCACCCCAGTCTAAAATGTAAAAACGGTCGATGTAAAACATGATGTGTGGTCCTTCCAAAATCCATTCCAGACCCTTATCCTCGATAGGTGTCCAGTATGGATTTTTAATGGAGGAGCCCATGCAAAAACACATCAGAATCCCCCCTTCACATTAGGAACCTCCTTCACACCAGAGCCCCTCTCTAACATCAGACTACCCTTTACATTAGGAGCCTTCACTTTAGAAGCCCCCTCCTTTCACATCCTCACACCCCCTCTTTCACATTAGGAGCTCCCCTTTCATATAAAAATCCCCCCTTTACAATCAGACTACCCCTTTACATCAGGAGCCCCCCTTCTTCAGACTCCCCTTCTTGCACATTAGAGCTCTCTTCACATCAGAGGCATGACGCTGTGTGAAAATTTCGCGGCACCCCTGAAAAATCCAGAGGACACCACAGGGTGTCACAGCACTCTGGTTAAGAAAGGTTGCCTTCTGTACAGTAGTAGAGAAAACATTTTTTTCCCCTGAGCTCATTGTTGAAGTTTTATTCTCCAGATGAGCATACGCCGTAAGAAAGCATTTGGGATTGATCTTCATGCATCCTGTAATACTTTCATGTACAAAATCCTTTTAGTAGAATCTCTTTCAACCATGTTCTGCTTAATGTTTTTAGAAACTGTAAGTGAAAGCGGTGAAGTGAGAGTCAATGGATTTGGCGATAAGCGGTACAGAAATGTCTGTAATAGGATTGTGTGACTGCTGAGGCCGCAGCACATGCTCGGCCGGTTTTATTATAAACTGGTAATCGTCTGGCCATTGTGAATATGTTCAGAATCCTGAGCTGTAGGAGCTGTGGGTACAGAGGTGTATTGTTAACATCCCCGGCATGTGAAATGAGACGGAACGAGAAGTCTCATCTATAAAGACTGAAGGGAGACTCTGGGTTTTGGACGTAGGATTTCATCAATGGTCGGCCGGATAATAACTGATAAGTTATTTCTTTTCCTCCGTTCTGTACAAAATCCATTCCTAATGTTTTTTTCAAGGGGATGTATAGTGTATTGTGTATATATTCCTTATCCACTTGAGAACCAGCAAGTTAATCCCCCTTCCTTTCAAGACCATTTTTCAGTTTTCAGCACTTTGATAGTTTGACCGACTATTACTCAGCCATGCAGCACTGTACACGATATAATAATTGATATCATTTTTATATCTTTTTTTTTAGAAAGAGCATTATTTTCTTTCTAGAGAACATAAAAAAGTGACATTTTAAAACGCACTACCCTGGGAGGGCTGCTGTCCATCCATTTACCGTATGTAAAATAGGCGGACGGCAAGTGGTATTGACTATATTCAGGGCACTAAAATAATAGTTTTGGGCCCCTTCTCACCTATTCAGCATGAAAACAAGCAGCAAAGCAGGTGTTTTACCATACATTGTCACACACAGTACAGTAGGTGCTGATACACCCAGACTTCAGCGCACCACAGTGCACTTACATTTGTGCTGAAGTTGTGGTGCGCTGGGGGTTAAAGGGAAAAAAATGGTGCAGTTCCAGTTTTTGTTCCATCGCTGTGTGTTGGCAGCGCATTCTAAATTAATGGGCTAGCTTAACGCACTAATAAAGCACAAAATACTGCAATGGTATAGTGTAAAAGGGGCCTTATTATTATCATACAGGAAATGATATGTCTGACACTTGCTGCCCTGCCCAACTGCCTGAGCCCTCGAATAACGAGACCAGAAGCTGGGAGGCAATGTGTGAGGTCAGGCGGTTGATTTCAGGTTTTGTTCACATTTCAGGTGGTCTCTGATCTGCGGAAGTATAAGACTTGAACATTTAAAGGCATTTAAAGCTAAGCAGGGGCAAATGCAAATTCCTCAATAGTAGACCTGAACATTTCTAACAATTTAAGACTGAGTATTCCATATTTCTGCATAAAAGCAACCATGTGCTTTTTAAGCCAGTGCTCCAGTGCTGGTTTAATCATATGGGAAAAAAGTACAGTAATCATAATTTCCTAGGGAGGAATCAGTCAGAGGCTTTTATTAACACCCATAGACATGTGGGTCATCATACACTGTATGGCCAAAAGTAGACCCTCCTCCACATTATTGAGTTTAGTTGTTTCCAGTAGGGTACTGTTGGTGCTACAGCATACAAAGACAGTTGTGGTATCTGGGGAAGTCCTGTTTCTGTTCCAGCATAACTATGCCTCTGTGCACAAAACCTACTCCATAATGACATGGTTTGATGAGTTGGTCGTGGAGGAACTCAAGTGTCCAGCACAGAGCCCTGAGCCTTAACCCCATTGAACAACTTTGAATGAATTGGAATTACGACTTCTAGCCAGGTCTTCTTAACCAACATTAGTACCTTACTTAAGAAATGGCTGAATAGGCACCAGTTCTAATAGACACATTCCAAAATCTTGTGGAAAGCCTTCCTAGCAGAGTGAAGGCTGTTGTAGACACAAAGAGAGTCAACTCCGTATGAATGGTTTTGGAATGGGATATAGGTGTCGTGATTAGGGTCCACAAACATTTGACCATATTATGTATATTCTGGCCAAAATCAGCTAGATTAGGAGTCTATTAAGTCATATTGATGGGAACCTCCAAAACCCATGTGATATCAGTTGGAAGTATAATTTTTATCAAGTGCGCTAAATCCAATTAGATTTCTGTGTGGCTTCAAGGAAATACTTTGAGAGTTTTATTATCCTGTTAATTGCACAGCCTACGATTTAATTCCCTTAGCTTAAAACGAGCTTCCTCTGTTTATTCTAACAGTTTAATTTTGTGAAACCTTTAGATAATGCAGACACTTTAGAGCCGGGTAAAGAGGGGGTTTCAGCGAGGACATATCACGTTCAATTCACAGAGCGGCATTACTTCTTTTACATGCATTTCCTATTTTGTCTCATGATAGTTTTCTCTACAACCAAATGTTCAGTTCACAAAAATGAATAGTGCTTTGGTGTGCAGTGGTTTTTTTAAAATGAAATGAGCATTTAATTAAAATAAAACAATTTAAGGCTGGACTTCAGCATTACACAGTGGTGGAGGCTCCACTCCCAGTGGAAGCCTCTATAAATTATGAATCTGTATATTACACTGCATGGCCAAAAAGTCACACACTCTAATATTTCATTGGGTCGCTTGTAGCTTTGATTAGGGCGCACATTCGCTGTGGCATCATTTCAATAAGCTTATGCAATGCCACAACGTTTATTTCCATCCAGAGTTGCATTCATTTCTCACCAAGATCTTGTAGTGATGATGGGAGATTCGGGCCACTGCATAAAGTCTTCTCCAGCACATCCCAAAGATTCTCAATGGGGTTAAGGTCTGGACTCTGTGGTGGCCAATCCATGTGTGAAAATGATGTCTCATGCTCCCTGAACCACTCTTTCACAATATGAGCCAGGTGAATCCTGATATTGTCATCTTGGAATATGCCCAATGTGTCATCAGGGAAGAAAAAATCCATTGATGGAAAAACCTGATCATTCAGTATATTCTGGTAGGCAGCTGACCTCATTTTTTTGGGCACATAACATGGTGAATCTAGACCTGATCAACTGCAGCAACCCCTATAGCTCATAGTCATTAGTTTATCAGCAACTCGTATGCCTCCTTTTCCTGCTCTTCTCATTGGACACCTTATAGAAACTCACTGTTTATGGCAGCAACCCGAATGGAGTATTGCATATGGCATACTACAATAATCCATAGTGTAACACGTATGGTCAGTTCATCAGATCCGTGCAATAAAACCTATAGTGTAGGGATGTTCAGATACCAGTGCCGATACTTGGCACTGGAACTACCAGGGTTGCAGCGGTTGCAGCCAAATTGGGATAACACCTATTTTTTTATTTGTTACATGTTTCTCATTCACATAGCATGACTTAAAAAAATGTAGATTGCTGTTTGCACAATACATGCTCCATTCTCAAATAATTTTTTTCTTTTTCTGTGTACTGAATTTTCCTCTGGAATGCAGGTGGGGAGGGGACAATTACCCTGCCTGTGCTGTGCTGGCAGATCCCATTATCAGCTGTGAACTAGATTTGAACACGGTCTGTCCTAACAGCGGGTTAAAGATCTAGAAGCTTGGCTTCTTTCATCGTATGTTAATGAGGGGGAGCAAAGTCTGTCCTAGGTCTTTCTGTTAGGACAGAGTTTCCTGTTACTGAAGCCAGTGGCTTCACAAGGGGGGTTCGGCCCACACACGGGTGCCACCATTAAAGGGGTGACACCAAAATGTCTGACAGTCATTTTGGTGTCACCCCCTATGAAAAGAGCTCAACGGTGTCAGGAGGGGACCTGGCGGCATACCTCATCCCGCCGGGTGAACGCCCCCTCCTCTCTCAATTAGACACCCGGGCATTCGTGATGACGTCATCACGCGCAGGCACGAAGATGTCACGGCAGGGAGTCACCCGTTCTCTGCTCCGGGTGACACACAGCCTCGGGACGCCCCTGACTGAACCTGAAAGGGAAGCTTACAAAGACCTGCTACATAGAGATATCTTAAAGGTAAGAAATATATAAAAAATATATTTTTAGCTATGCTGTGTGAACTGGAACACCTAACAAACATATGATGGGGGGTTTTCTAAACTTTGTCTGCAAAGGTGGAAATACACTTTACTTGCTACCCAATGTTGAGATTTGGGCATTAGGTGACTCAAGGATTGTGCGGTCATCTGAAAATAAATGCACCTCGTCATGGCTATTGCTTTACACTGTTATCTGGAAGGAAAGGTTGACTTTCATGTAAAGTATAGGATGAACCTATGTGGAAGACGTTTGTTCAGCAAGATGCAATCTGGAACAATGAGTTCATTAGTCTGTACTGTTCCCATTTCAGGGTTATCTTGAAGAATTGGTCCGCCTTCGGGAAGTTCAGCTATCAGACTCAGTATCTCAAAACAAATTAATACTACAGAGGATTAAAGACATTGAAGTGAACCACAAGCTGGAGAAAGAACAGCTAGAATACATAATTGTAGAACTCCAGGACCAGCTGTGAGTATGAAAATGAAATGTTCTTTAACTGCAGTAACCGTACACTACAATGGGGTCAACCAGCTAACTGTACACTACAAAGGAGGTCAGCCATGTAACGATATACTACAATGGAGGTCATCCATGTAACTATATACTACAATGGAGGTCAGCCAGGTAACTGTACACTACAATGGGGTGAACCAGTTAACTGTACACTACAAAGGAGGTCAGCCATGTAACTATATACTACAACGGGGTCAGCCATGTAACTATAAACTACAATGGAGGTCAGCCAGGTGACTGTACACTTCAATGGGGTCAGCCATGTACCTATATACTACAATGGATGTCAGCCAGTTAACCGTACACTACAATGGGGTCAACCAGTTAAAAAACAGGGGTCAACCAGTTAACTGTGCACTACAATGGGGTCAACCAATTAACCGTATACTACAATGGGGTCAACCAGTTAACCATACACTACAGAGAGGTCAGCCAGTTAACCATAGACTATAATGGGGTCAACCAGTTAACCATAGACTATAATGGGGTCATCCAGTTAACCATAGACTATAATGGGGTCATCCAGTTAACCATAGACTATAATGGGGTCAACCAGTAACAATAGACTATAATGGGGTCAACCAGTTAACCATTGCCATGTACCTATATACTACAATGGATGTCAGCCAGTTAACCGTACACTACAATGGGGTCAACCAGTTAAAAAACAGGGGTCAACCAGTTAACTGTGCACTACAATGGGGTCAACCAATTAACCGTATACTACAATGGGGTCAACCAGTTAACCATACACTACAGAGAGGTCAGCCAGTTAACCATAGACTATAATGGGGTCAACCAGTTAACCATAGACTATAATGGGGTCATCCAGTTAACCATAGACTATAATGGGGTCATCCAGTTAACCATAGACTATAATGGGGTCATCCAGTTAACCATAGACTATAATGGGGTCAACCAGTAACAATAGACTATAATGGGGTCAACCAGTTAACCATAGACTATAATGGGGTCAGCCAGTTAACCATACACTACAGAGGGGTCAGCCAGTTAACCATAGACTATAATGGGGTCAGCCAGTTAACCATAGACTATAATGGGGTCAGCCAGATAACCATAGACTATAATGGGGTCAGCCAGATAACCATAGACTATAATGGGGTCAGCCAGATAACCATAGACTATAAGGGGGTCAGCCAGTTAACCATACACTACAGAGGGGTCAGCCAGTTAACCATAGACTATAATGAGGTCAACCAGTTAACCATAGACTATAGGGGGGTCAGCCAGTTAACCATACACTACAGAGGGGTCAGCCAGTTAACCATAGATTATAATGGGGTCAGCCAGTTACCCATAGACTATAATGGTGTCAGCCAGTTAACCATAGACTATAATGAGGTCAACCAGTTAACCGTAAACTACAATAGGTTGAACCAGTTAACTGTGCACTACAATGGGGTCAACCAACCTATGAAATTTGCAGTGGTGGGTGACAGCAAAAAGGTTATAGGTCAGTTTAAAAGGTCAGTTCAGTCAAAAGTGATGCTTTGCCTGTAGGTCAAGCCTGGTGGGCTGGGTGAGTCTACAACTGAATTTTTGGATTCTCCATCAGTGAGATCTCCCAACCATAATCCCAGATTATAAATGTCATTATTTTGGAAGATAAAGGCAGTACTGGTTGTCTGACATAAGAGTAACACAATGGGTGTACATGGTAAGAAATTCAAACTCCAAACATACAAACCTAAATTCCTGTTACTACTATTCTTCTTATTTTGAACAGGTTGTAGTTTTGCACATCATTGTAGTAAAGGCAGCACATAGGGGACAATGTAACAATTACATTACAGTGTTTGAGATCATTCAGAATTCATTGACAGGTTCATTTGACCTGCAGTTAACCTTGCAACTTACCAGGCCTTATATGTAGTGGCTGGATGACCTTTTTAGGGATTTTTTTTAACTTTATTTTTTACCTGGCAGTCCTACGAATAACACATTTCCTGGCCTTGGGTGGATATGCTCACTCCACCACTACATCTATGGAGGGATCCGTGGTTGTCACCCAGGCTGGACTTTAAACATGTCTGCCTTTGTTCATCTTCATTACATGGTAGATTGATGGGGCTCACAAGGAAGATGGGTTTTTTGTGCATTCCTTAGGATTAAAAGAAATGACCAGGACTCTACATTTCTGGCAGGATCACCGGATATTCTTTGTACTTGCTGAAAATGCACATGGCCTGAAAAACTGTTGCAGCCACTGTACTTTTGAGGGTTTTTTAGGGCCTGTTTGCACCCATTTTTGGTGTCCTTACCCACTCCTCCTTTTCCTGGACTGTTTTTGAACTTCCCTCATGTTAAAGAATCAGATTCTGTGTCCTCCAATGAACTCTGGGAGAAAATAGGATTTTTGGTGCACACTGTCAAATCCTTTTCTTCATTAGTTCTTTGGAGGATACAGCTCCCTCTCCCCTAATGAGTACTCATCTGGGATGTTGGTGATGATTTAAGGTTGTTTTACCTTTCATTCACTGCTTACTACTCCTGAGCTAATGTCACTAGATGGGGCTGTGACCTTCTTGATTAGCATAGTGTCCAAACTTCCCAGAGGTGGCAGCTATACCCTCAAGTAAAAAAATTCCTCCATTGAACTACTGCAGAAAATTATTTTACAGTGACTACAAAAATATGTTTGATTCCTAGAGGAAGCTGTGGTATCTCATGAGTGGAGTGCAGGGGTATAGCCACTAGATTGGGCTGCAATCTTTATTTGCATACTGTCCATTTCTCCTGGAGGTGGCAGCTATACCCACACATTAAAGAATAGACTTCTGTGTCCTCCAATAAACAACTGCAGAAAAGGATTTTACAGTGAATATAAAAATATATGTGATTGCTAGAGAAAGTTGTAGTATGTCATGAGTAGAGTGCAGGGGTATAGCCACTAGGTGGGGCTGCAATCTTTTTGATTTGCATAAAGTTTAACCCACCTCTAGGTGGCAGCTATACCCACACATTGAAGAATAGACTTTTGTGTCCTCCAAAGAACTACTGCAGAAAATAATTTTACAGTGACTACAAACATATATGTGATTCCTAGAGGAAGCTGTAGTATCTCATGAGTAGAGTAGCTTTAATGTCAGATCATATGCTAGCGTGAAGAAGTGAGTTTCGAGAGTTTGTTTAAAGGCTCGGAGGTTAAGGAAGTGCCTTCAGCTATTTTACAACAGAAGAACAGCGTGGGACAAGTCTAGGGTTCACGTGTGACTCAGTGGCGGATCCAGAGTCTATTCTCGGGAGGGGCACTGCCAGAAAACGGCCAGTACGCCCCCCTACGCTCACCCGCCCTGCGCGTCCGTACGAGCATACAAGTACGCTCACCCGCACTGATGTGCAGGACGGGTGAGCGTAGGGCGGCTTACGGCCATGTAGTCCTATAGAGAAGAACAGGGGCTGTGTACTAATCACACGCAGCACCTGTCCTTCCCGGGAGCTGCCCGATACGGCCGTGCACGCAGCACGGAGCTGTACGTGCCGGCCGATTCCAGTGTGAATGAGCCCTTAAAAAAAACTGGTCACCTTACCCTGGTGGTCAGTGGGGGCTCCCGGGGCCTGGTTGGTAGTGGAGGATCACCTGTGGCCGCACCAGCCAGTTTGCCCGCAGCAGATGCCGGAGGGCCCGTCACCCACTAAATGAAGCCCCTGGCCGCAGGTGCAGTGGCCCACTCCGCCGTCTCTCTGCCACCTGCACCGCTACAGATGCGGCTCTCTAAATGTGCAGCCGCTCGCATACCGAGGCGATCCGGGCTGGCTGGATCAGGCAGATGCGGCCCTTTAATCAGGCATGTTAGAGGGCTGCCCTTGAGGAGCGAGCGGCTGCGCGATTAGAAAGCCACATCTTTAGCGGCAGAGAGACGGCGGAGGGAGGGAGCCACTGCACCTGCGGCCGGGAGGTTAATTTAGCGGGGGCGGGGTGACGGGTGCCCTGATGGTCAGTCATTATACAGCAATGCTGAATACCACCATCACAGCTAGTCCCCCTTTCCCCCCAAGCCAGTTATTACCCACAGACTACCCCATGATCATAATAAATGGAAATAGCTCTGCAAACAGTGACGGTACCTCAGGGAATAGAATTTAGACATATGAGAAGGTTATGTACTAAGGTGCTGCATTTTGGGGCTTTGTGAGCTAGAACTAGAGTACAGGAGAGCAAAACAGAGTCGCAAGTGGAAAACCAAAATTAACACAAAGTCCAGTTCCTCCTTGGATAAGAGGAAAATCCAAAGCCAAGAGAGGGAAGGCAGACAGCAGGCAGCTCAGTTGTATGAGAGGGTATTACTGGACACTCTTTGGATATTCGTTATCATTACTCATCCATCAGACTATGTACATACAGAGGAACGACAAGGGTGCCTTTTTTGATACAACTCCATATATACAGCAGTCCTGTGTTTGAAGCTGTGTGTATGTCTACACCAGCCACCAGGCAGGAGATTTAGACTGGCAGATCCATTGAGGTCTAGTAGATCTTTCGTTCGGGGGACAGCTGGTGAAATATATTTGCAAACTTACTTAATTTTTCAGACTATATATAAGGAAACACGGTACATTTAGCCTGAACTTATTTTGCAAATGGTGACTTCATATACTTTGCAAATCCGATATTCGGCAGGTCAAGAAAGTTAATTAGCTTTTGCAATCAATATTTATGTATTATATTCTTTACATATGCTTGTACAGGTAATTGAAACAGAAAGGTCACTTGTTGCAATGGTTGAACAATTGTTTTTGGTTAGGAAGAGACTGGAATTGAGGGGAAGTTTCCCAACAGGAACACAGATGGCAATTAAAAACAAAAGCCTGACAACCTCGGCACTCCAGTTGTGGCCACAGCTCTGGGAGCCATGCCTGTGGCTTTCAGTCTTGCAATGCCTCATGGGACTTGTAGTTCCACAACAGCTGGAGTGCTTAGGTTGCCTACCCCC